GAATGTGAAGACTTTGATTTGATAAGAGTTAACACAACTAAAAATTAACAGGAAATAACATATAATAAAAACAAGCCAAGATATAAGACTTAGGGTGAGATGTAAATACTATTTCTACTAGACCAATGCTGTCAAAATGCTACAGCATGAGACCATGCTGACAAATTGCTACAGCATACAATTAGTAACAACTATTTTCATAATTTATTTTGAAGGTATTTCTCTCAGACTTCACCAATGCACTTATATTATAACTTTCAACTCATATCTCTATGAGGTATCTGGACCAGTGAAAGTGACAAATGGTGTCCTCAAAATATATGAATAAATAAATCTCTTTGTTAAAAATCACTCTCTTGAGTGGATTCTCATATCATTTAAGTTGACGTGTTCTGAATGGCTCATCTCTGAGTCCATTCCACTTTAACACTTTAAAGTGATCATTCTATCGAGAATTAACAATTTACAAAATACGGATAACAAATCTCTTTGTTAGCAACTCTTTCAAGTCTACTTCCCATATCATCCAAATTGACGTGCAATCAATGGCTCAGCTTAGAGTCCATGATACTTTAACATTTTTCAGTGATCAACTCGTTAAGAAATGTCATTGGTTTTATAAAACTTGAAATGAAATAATGAAACATTGTTGTTACATAAAAGGGTCTACCTTATTTTGAATTACAAAATCACCCTTTCTGTCATACACCCGAGCTAAGAAATTTAGCTACTCATGACGGAAAGTATATTGCAAAAAATATAAAGTACGGTAAATAAAGACATAAAAATAAATAACGGAAAGTAAATGATGGAATATAAATAACGGGAAATAAAATGCGGAAAATGTAATAAATAAATGATGGAAATTAACGAACAAGAAAGCGTAATAAATAAATGACGGAAAATAAAAGGCAATTAAAAGAAAGCTTAACAGAGAAATTAGCCAAAAGTTACTTATATTTCTAGAGAGAGAAAGTATTCTACAAGTAGTGAGATAACTAGTTGAGAATTGGATGATATGATCCAAATACTAACCACAACATCTTTATTTATACTAAGATAGAGGTGAAGGCAAAATAGTCATTTAACACTTAAACTAGACTTAAAGTAACTAAAAGTACAATAAAGCAAATACTTAAATTTCTAATATAACCAAATTAACCAACAAGTTTCCAGCTAATTACAAAAGAAACAGTTGTCAATACACAAAATGTCATTCAAAAGTCAGCTATGGTCATGTCAATCAACATCATGTTCTCTCTCTCTTCTATTTCCTCACAGTCAGATCATGCTGCAGCATCCCCGCAGCATCAAACTGTCCAAAATATATCCATATTAGTCCATTACATATCAAAAACACGTTAATTATTCATCTTAGCTTCATAACAAAGAAGTGGTAACCACAAGGGTGGTGTCTGATTGGTTTGAGCTTGACTCCAAAGGTCAAAAATATCAGGAGGTTCCAGGTTCAAATCCAAAGAGGAATAAAAATCTCCATGTGGCCACGGAGATTCAAATACGGTGACTTCGGGTATCTGCAAAGCAGATGGTCGTCCTGGTCTAATCTTATGAATTTGTTTTCATGAAATTGTTTAATCTTGTGAAATTGTTTCATATAATACTTTTTTTTTGATGAAATTGTTTCATATATGGTTATGAAATTGTTTCATATAATACTTAATGAAATTTTAATGAAACTGTTCATTATTTCTCTAAAATTAAAATAATGAAGATGATAATATCCATGATTAACACCCTCCACAATAAAAATGATTAATCAACCTCTCATAATTACAAAAAAATGAACAAAATGAAAAATTATGATTGGTTGAATGGAGTTTGTACGGTTTGTACAAATAACGTGGTTTGCAAAGTAAACATCCTCTATATATATATATGTATATAAACGAAAAGCAAGGTTTTTATGAGAACCTACATTATGGAGTTTTATTGAGGTTCTTGGAGGTTCCGCTATCATTGATGCTTTAATGATTCCTTATGACACCCCATACTCCACATTTACTTATAACATATATTTCATATCAAAAAAATACATATTACACCACATTGGTCCTGCTAGTACAAGGTTTTTATATTTACATAATCTACAATTGAAAAATTCCAAAAGAATAACCTTGTACTATTACATGTATTTTAAAAAATAATTGACATTCTTTGCTAAATTTTATTCATTGCTAAATAATTAACATTCTTTGGTAAATTAGGAACGAGTTCTATCTATTCAGTAACGGATTTTGATATTTGGTATTAACAACTTTTATTAGTGTATATAATATTTTATAAATTGAACCACAAGGGAGATGTCTGATTGGTTTGAGCTTGACTCCAAAAGTCAAAAGTACCAGGAGGTCCCAGGTTCAAATCCAAGGAGGAATAAAAATCTCCTTGTGGCCATGGAGGTTCAAATGCGGTAACTCCAGGCTATCTGCAAAGCAGGTGGTCTTCCTGGGATTAGTCGCTCGCATAACGGGTTGGATTTCCAAGTTAATCAATATGTATATATATATATATATATATATATATATTAAGAGGAGCGTTCAAATAAAAATCTGCCACATTTGTGTAAACCGTGTAAACCAATCTCATCCATCCATTTTATTAATCAATGATCAAGATTAGTTTATTTTATTTTAGGAAATTAAAAAATATATATATTAAAAATTTATTTTATTTCAACAGTAAGGGCAAAAATAGTAAACAAAATTTAACATTTAGTAACATCTTTCTCGATATTAATGACACTATTTTCATTTTTTAAAGCAACATATTATTTTTAACTTTAAATCACATCCATCAATAAAACATATAAAAAAAATGAATATATAACACACCATATTCAATTATATGGAGTGAATCGTTTTAAATTTTGAATTACATTATATGAACGAAATTGGTTTCACMATGAAAATGTTTCGGTTCACATAATTTATTTGCAACAAGACCCGGTTTCACGTCATGAAACTTGTTTCAATTTCCTTTTCATAATTTATTTTCAACCTGCACCGGTTTTGTTTTCCTTTTCATCAACAAAATGGATCAACTACACCATCAATGCAACGGTTTCACCATAAAAATGTTTTGGTTCACTTAATTTATTTGCAACATGAACCGGTTTCACGTTCATGAAACCTATTTCATTTTCCTTTTCATAATTTTTTTCAAAATGCACCGGTTTCATTTTATTTTTCATAAAAAAAAAAGATTAACTACACCATCATTGCAACAGGTTCACCATAAAAATGTTTCGGTTCACCTAATTTCTTTGCAACATGAACCGGTTTCACGTTCATGAAACCTGTTTCATTTTGTGGATTTTTTTTTTGTTCATCTACGTTTTGATGATTTCATTYTATAATTCAATTGTTTCATCAAGACATGTTTCCTGATTATAACTCATAACAATACATGAAATCCAAATTTTTAATATTTTAATATAATTAAATATTTAAATGTTACCATTTATGCAATTTTCTTTATTACGTTTCCTTAATTAAAATTTATTAATAACTTCTATATTTAATAGAAAATATTATAAATGACCGAAATACCCTTATTGATTAAATTTAATTAGAAAAAAAAAGAATTTTCCTATTAGTCGAAATTGGTTTACACAGTTTCTTAGAAATGCACGGTTTTCATTTGAACGTGCCCCTATATATTAAATTGTATGTCACACTTAATTATAAGCATCAAAGCCAAATATTAGATACAAACATCAAGTTCTCTCTAGATATTACACACACAATCATACCATATGACATCATGCTTTATAAGTTATATATCATAAATACTGAACAAGATCAGTAGAAGAAACATCAGAATAATAGTTAACACTGTTAATTTTAGGGTTTAAGTCATTTGTTAGAGGAAGCCCTAAAACGATGTCAATACAATCTACTTTCTAAACGCTACAAGTCATCTTAAGAACACTTGTTTTTCAAGAACACGACAATCAATGCTTAACGTCGAGGAACATACTTTGTCAAGAACTCTCGGGCTATCATCTCAAGATCACTCTCTTCTAGTTCTTGACCTGTTGGGGTGTCGTTGGAACATTTTGGTATTACTCGTGACGTTTGTACAGATTTAGCAAGTTCGGAATAAACCGGCGACATGGTGGAACTAGACATGATTTTAGGTGATGAGAGAATGTCGGTTGACGGTAGATTTGCTTGACGATGGCATTGCAACGTTGAAATTCGAGCTCGAACGTATGCTAACTCTGCTTGCAAGTTAATAACCTGAAATGTCATAGTAAAGAAATTAGGGTTTTTGTGACATTTTTATCATTTATTAACATAAGAACGTTAAGATAACAATAATTTTGTACGGAGCAGGGTCTATGAAGTGTAAGTTATAATTAGGGTTAAATGCATAAGATAACAATTAAGGGTGTTTATGGGTTAGGTTGATCAGGTTGAAAACATTTGAATAACTCAACTCAATGCTTGCGGTTTGAAAAATCTTAACCTAACCTAATCCAAACCAAAGTGTAACCTAACCTAATCCAAACTGTACGGGGTTGGCCAGGTTAGTATATTAAAATATTATTCTAACCTTAAATATGTTATTTATCTACTTATAATTTACTTTTCATTATCAACCATTTGATTCAATTTATCCATCCTTCTTAAATCTTACGTGTATCACATTCAATTAATTTTTTCAATTTACATATATGTTCACAGTTACTGAACATATATACGAATGAGTTAGATAGAGATGGATAATAGATTGAAAATATATGTATATGAAGAGAGTACATGATAGTGTAATTGTTTAATTTATATATTAATAAAAACTCAACAATCATATTAAAATTCAAGAAATACAAGGATATCGGGTTCATCAGGTTGAGTTCAAATAATAGTAACTCACTACTTACGATTTAAAATTTTTACAACTTGATTAGACATCGGGTTGCTTCGGTTGAGTTATTTCGTGTTATGTTGGGTTGATCGGGTTTTTGAGCACCCTTAACAGCAACTCTTTTTCATAAATTTCCTAATTATAACATTTTATTCTCATTTTTTCTTATTATAACAACATATACTTTCGAATTATTTTTTATTGAAAAAGTTACCCATTGTAACAATATTATTTGATTTGAATTAACATGACACAACACATTTCCACACCATCTCATTATCTATGTGGATATTCACATATAACGTATTGTTGACGTAACATCTCTTATTACAGTGTTATACTAAAAAATTTAATTTTACATATTATTTAATAAATATATTAATTTAATTAAAAAATATAAAATATTTATTCATATAAAAATATTAAAAAAAACTTGTAGATCGCAATCTATCTCGTTAACATTTTAAAATATATATTTTTTAAACAAGAAAATTAAGAAGTGGTACATTTTTCCTACAAACAAAATTAATATATTAAATAAATTAGAAATTTTCCAAATTATTCATTAATGTAGCAATGTTAAGAAGATTTATAAAATACAATTTATATCTCTCACATTTAAAAAAAATTCAAAAATATGTATTTTCAGAGAAGGGGAAATAAGAAATGTTAAATTTTCTTACAAATAAAATATTTACTTAAAAAGGAATATATTAGATTAGTTTATAAAACATGTTATTCTAGAATATTTAATTAATATACAATTTAATAAGGGTGAAAAAGATTTTGAAATGGTTTTTTTTTTAAGGGAAATTAATTAAAATAGTCATTTTCACGGTAGGTTTCACCTCTTTTCTTACACATCGACCCCTTCATAAATTACGGACCTGCTAATTACAAACCTATGACTATTTTCATAATTTTAAGAGAATAATGGCTAAACGGTGAAACCATGTGATCAAAATGGCTATTTTAATTAATTTCCCCTTTTAAAAAGAGATATGAAAAATTGTCCAAGCTTTATTTTAATCAATGTCACGTAAACATAATGACGTGTCATCTACATCATCTCATTCAAGCCATGTAAACAACAACAACAACAACAACAAAAGTTAACCGGTTTAAAAAGGTAATAGATCACCTATTACTATGATGAGTAATTTTTTTTAAAGTACAATGCCTAAATAAAAACAATTTAAAAATGTGAAAATTGCACAAAAATGGAATCAATTTTCACCTGATTCTTATTTTGGGGAACCAACTTTCAAAATTGTTATTTAGAGGTCTCTATCAAATTTTTTGTTTATTTAAGGGTCTGATTGACCTGTTAATGCAGATATCATCCAGATCTTTTACCAACTAAGATATTCCACGTCATATTAATTTTTTATTTTAAAACTAATATTCCACGTCATATTTAAAATTGCAAAATAATTGTAGAAAAATAATTAAAATTCGTTTTTTTTTTCAAAAATTGTTGTAATAAAATATATTTTTCATTCCAAATCTCATTTTTTTTTTAAATCAAATATTAAATTGAATTTTTTTTTTCAAAAATAGACTTCTTTACTCACAATTTTTTGGTATCTGAATTTTTATTAAGAAACAAGATTTGGAATGAAAAATAGATTTTATGACTATAATTTTTAGAAAAAAAAAAACAAATTTTAGTTATTTTTCTATAACTATTTTGCAATTTTAAATATGACGCGGAATATTAGTTTTAAAATAAAAAATTAACATGACGTGGAATATCTTAGTTGGCAAAAGATCTGGATGATGTCAGCATTAACAGGTCAACTAGACCCTTAAATAAACAAAAAGTTTCATAGATATCCCTAAATGACAATTTTAAAAGTTGGTTCCCTAAAATAAGAATCAAGTAAAAGTTAGTTCCATTTTTATGCAATTTTCTCTTTAAAAATATTAAAAAAATAAAAATACAATACTATAATAGTTTTTGAAAATAACAGTGCAAAAAACAGAACTATTGTTAGAATTTTTATTTTCAAATAAAAAAATAATAAATTAAAAAAATAATAAATCTATTTTTTTTAATAAATAATTGGTACCTTTTCTCACATCACTTCTTATGTTTATTTACTTTATGTCTTGTACAAAAATTTGACATATCTTACTCTATACCATCTTTTGACATCAAATCCACTTTCCATATTCAGCAAAAATTCAAAAATAAGACAAAAAACAAACAACTCTTTGTCATCTCACCTTTAATCTATTAATACCTCATAAAACAAGAGCTTAATTGGTAAAGATATTAGGTTCGAAATCAATAAGACGTTAACGAATAGTGTTTGGCCAAAACCGACAACTTTAAACATACCCAGTGACGTACTTAAATAATACTGTAAACTACTTATAAAACATTCAAAACCATGTTGGCAACGATACGATATCTGGTACGAAACCAGTACACGTCTTTGAATGGTTCAAATTTCCGAAGATATGAAACAAAGCATACGTTTTTTTAGCTCTTGTTCGAAGAAATGAGCCATGACAAATTGCTTCTACGTCTTAATGTTGTTACATACGAAGAAATTGACCAAGTTTTTTTTTATGCTTTTAGGTTCGGAAATTTGGTTAAATCTTTAAGTTTTTAGCTGTTATCGATTTAGATACACATATAGTTCATATGTGTATTACATGGGTTCACATAAACCTGTTTGCGGACTATTTCTAAAAGTTACAAAACTACCATTTATCTTCCACATACACATGCGAAAAATTATCCGTTTTCATGTTCTTTTATTTAGTCACTGTTCTCGTTTCAACACACTTCACCTTCTTTAATCAAGTTCTAAATGACATTGGCTTTTTTTTTGTTTATGCTAAAATGCGCCATAACTTTTAATGCTTGAAGTACAAGCAAAGAAGCAAGTTATATAATTAAATTAAGAAAAATTAACTCAAATGACCGTATTCCACAATTAAATTAACCCCCTAACCATTTCTATTCAGTCTTTACCCAAAAGTCACTGGTTCCACAATATCCAGGTCCGTAATTATTACGGACCCAGATCAAGGCCAGGTCTGTAACCACTGATCCGCAACTATTATGGATCCGGTCCAAACCCATTTTCCTATGAAGATGGACACTTACGGATCTGGCATTATAGATTCAAGGAAAATGGGTTTTTGGCCGGATCCCCTGTGGTTACAGACCTTGGGCCAAAAGCTATGAAATTTTGTCGTTTAATGGGTCTTGGTATTTGCGGACCTAGTGATTTTTTGATAAAGTTCGAAGAAAAACGGTTAATAGGTCAATTTGGTCGTAGAATATGATATTTTGGTCGATTTTTAATTAATTAATGAGAATTAATTAAATAATAAAAAGAAGGAATTAATTAATGAACCTGTTGCTGGAGGGTGAAGATGTTGGCAACACAGCCATACACAGGATCTCTGACCCTAGACAGTGCTTCATAGCAGAGTGAAACGACGGCGTCTAGACGGCGGTGCGGTGGTATCCTAAGGAGGAGCTTGGCGGCGTTGCTAGCTCCGAACACCCTGTGCACCGCCGCAAAGTCACTCGTACCTAATTGGTCTGAGTCAAAGTACGGTGCAAACACACAGTTTTTCACACACTTTCTTCTCAAAAACTTGCAGGCTCCACAAGGCCCACCACCACCACCGCCACCGCCATGCCTGCAACTCATCTCTCTCTCTCTAAAAACCAAACAGAAGGGTATTTATTTAGAGTGAGAAAGTTGCTGGAAAATTGCTTCTTGAAGAAGGGTATTATTGGTGGTGGGTCACTTGGTGGAGCTTTCATATCCTATGCATGACGAGGGTACTTTCGTAATTTTTGTATAGGATTTAGGGGTAAATTTGGAATTTGGTGCTGAAATTGAAATGACTTCTAGAAAGTATTGGTGGTGGGTCACTTGGTTGGAACTTGTAACCTCCATATACAGGGAATGTTCTAAGGGATGACATTTTGAGGGGTAGTTTGTAATTTTTCATATACCTTTGGGGGTAAAATTGTAATTCAAAAAGTTTGTGACAGGTGACATTTTGAGGGGTAAAAGTTTGTAATTTTATACACCTTCGGGATAAATTGTATTTTATGAAGCTTGGAGAGGGGGTAAGTTTGTAATTTTGTAATAGGTTTGGGGGTAAATTTGGAATTTAATGACAATAGAGTTTTGAAAAATTAATTAAAATAGTTATTTTTATCCGTTGTTTTTGCTTTTTAGCCAATTTTTTACAATGTTTATTAAAATAGTCACAGGTCCTCAATTTTAATTTTTTTTGCGGACCTGAGTGAGAAATGTAAATTTTTTGCAGGCCTGGATGAAAAATGTTTTTTTTTTTTGCGGATAAGGATAGAAAGTGTAATTTATTTTGTCTTTTAGTTAGGTCTGCAATTGCCGACATGGATTTTACGAACCTATGACTATTATATGATAAGTTTGAAGAAAAATGACTAGAAGATGAAACCAACCCTAAAAAATGATTATTTTGATAAAATTTCCAGAGTTTTTGCTCAAAAATTTAAACAAATTCTTGAAAATATTGGTGGTGGGTCGGTTGGGAGTTGGGACTAGCTTTGTTGGAACTTAGGGGTAAATTTGTAATTTTGTAATAGGTTTTGGAGGTAAAATTGTAATTTATCGAGCTTGTGGGGGTGATATTTTGAGGGCTAGTTTGAAGTTTTATATACGAAAATTGTAATTTATGAAGCTTGGACAGGGGTAGGTTTGTAATTTTTGTACAGGTTTGGGGGTAAATTTGGAATTTGCTATAATAGAGACTTTGCTCAAATTTAAATGACTTCTAGAAATTATTGGTAGTGAGGGGTGAACAAATGCGGGTACCCGATTAAAACTTACGGGATCGGTATCGAAACCGAAACCGAAACCGACGGTTCCTGCAATGAAAGAATTGGAACCGTTCCACAGGTTCTTTATATTTGGGAATTGGTTCATCGTACCGTGTACTTAGTGTCTATTTTTATTTATTTATTATTATTTGATACAATAAAAAAGTAATTATTAGTCTTTTATAAAGTATGATCGTAAAGAAAATAAATACTACAAACAGTGAAAACTAAATCTGATAAAAATTTAAAACTAATAATTACATAAATCATTTGATAGAAACTCTTGATAGCAGCAAAACAACTTACAAAAGACTTCATGCCAGTTTATTAATAATTTCAATTTTAGTTTAATAAATATAATAAACATATAAAATATTTTTTATTAAAACACACTGAAAGGTAAATTAAAATAATAAACATATAAAATAAATTTTATTAGAAAAATAGCGGGTATCCGTAGGTTTCGGTTCTGGGAACCAAGCGAGACCGGGTACCCCGTCCAGGAACCGGTTCTGGCGGGTACCCAGTGATTAAAGGTTCCAAAAACAAATAAGAACCGGAACCAGTCCTGGTTCCAGAACCAACAGTTTCGGAGCGGTTCCGGTTCCAAAGGCAGGTACTAGGTTCCGATGCTCACCTTTATAGGCTGTGGGTCACTTGGGCTACTCTATAACATCATTTATCGTCTGGAACGAATCGCCACTTTGAACATGCACAGAACCATTATCGCTTTGACGTGATTTCTATTTGTGTCAGCGGTTGTGATGATAGATTAAGTTTCAAGGTTAAGAATTGTGATGGTAGATTGCAGGGCCGGCCCTGGGCCTAGGCCAAAGGGGCGACGGCCCAGGGCATCAAAAGTGGAGAGGGCATCAAGATTTTTTAAGCCCAATGCATGTACTAGGTTCAGTTTGGGCCAAATTTTTTTTATTACCGTTAGCCTTTAGAGTCCATTCCACATTTCACAGTTTCACTTACCGAGTTACCGGCCCAGGCTCCTCATATCCATCATCRAATTTCATGATTCATCCTCAATCGCTATCGCTCGCTCTCGCTCGACGCTCTCTCTCGCTCTCGCTCGACGCTCTCTCTCTGCCTCACTCAGCCTCAGTCGTCGGTCGCTCAAGAGTCAAGCCCATCTCGCCGACTGCCGTTGCCCGTCTRCCSTCCGTCTGCCGGTCTGAGAACTGCGACTATCGCTCTCGCCTCTCGCTCTCGGCCTTGACTCTTGAGCCCTTGACACTTGTGAGGTAAGGGACTTAGCGTTATTTTATAAGTTTCTAATTATTGTGTGATTGCAAAACCTAATAATGGAGCTGTGAAATTGGTACTTTGTGGTTTGTCATTTATGTTTCATTTGTTAATCATAGGGCTGTTTAGAAGAGGGTTAGTATTAGTATAGGGCAATTTGTTTTAGGGCTGTTAGTACTCGTATAGAAGCTGTGAAATTTAATATTAGTATAGGGCAATTTGTTTTAGGGCTGTTAGTATTAGTATAGAAGCTGTGAAAGGCCTAAGATTGATGCTTATGTTTTTCTCTTTTATCAGTTTGTCCATGTTGCTTAATCGTTTCACTTTCTTGGCAATTTCACAACACGAACCATGAAGGACCATTTTTGTTACACGGGGTTTTGGTTTATGTCCCCCAATTGCATCATTTTTGTTATATTTAAGGGACATTTTTTGTTTGATTGACTAGGTTCCAAAACCCTTCAAATAGTTTATTTTGGTTTTTATTTACACATATAAGGGACATTTTTTTGACTTTCCGCCGTGGGCATCCAAAATCTCAGGGCCGGCCCTGGTAGATTGTGTTTAAGGGTTAAGGGTTGTGAGAGTAGAAGTGTTTGGATTACTACATTTTCATATTTGGATTACTACAATTATATATACTACATTTGCTACTAAAAAAAACAAAATACCAATGAAAATCGCCCCTTGTGTCTACTCACGTTGTCATTGAGTTGTCAAATCAACCAAAAAGTTGCGTCATAGAATGTCTCTACTACATGACAGAATAATGACCAAAATCGCCCATGGGGGAGATTTTCAATATATTGGGGTGATTTTGATGAATGTGCCAAAAAATCTGATTTTTGTCCTCCCAAATGGTATACATGTGGGACTCATCCGTACCTCAAATCATGAAATCACCCCTATTAAAGTAAATCGCCCCCAGGAGCAATTTTTTTGGCCTTTTTCTGAAAAATGTCTGAAAAGTGGTCATTTTGTTAGTATACTATGTAAAATGATCATTTTGGTAATTTCCCTATTTCGAGGGCAAGCTTGTGACGGTATTTCAGTAGTTATATACAATGGTTTTTTTTTTATTTTTAAATAGAGTATCATAAGTTAAAATGTTTTAAAAAATTATATCTAATTCTAATAGTCACTCTATTTTAGTAATTTTATCATTAATTATATTATTAAAATATTTAATATAATTAATAATATATTATTTTTCTCTTCTAAATATTTAATTTCAATATCTCCTACTGGTGAGAAGGAATTAAATATTATTTCTCTATCTTCAATGTGGATAGAGATTTCTTCAAATTTAAAGATTTTTACATTCTCTATCTATTCTTTTTCTCCATTTCAGTATACAAGATAGCATAGCTGTTGGAGATGCTATAACATTTTCATTATTTTATAGCTATAGGTCTAGTAATATAATTTTCACATAGTTATACTTATTTGTAAAAACTTACAAATATATATATATATATATATATATATATCGATATTATAAATCATTTGAAAAAAAACTCTTAAAAACCATTTTTAATTATGTAACTAACTGTAAATAAACATAATCAAAGACAAGATAAACATCTCATTTTAAGTATAAGAAATCTAAAAATATAATTAGAATGATTATTGAGTTCTAACAGAAAACTTAATATATTTTTATAAAAAAATTTGTATTATTAAACCCAAAAATAAATTATTTTGTTATTAAATCTAAATTAAATTATGATGAAAATTTGAATAAAAGAAATTACACAAAAAAGTGAACTTTTAAATAGTTAATTTTATACTAATTACGATATATTTTTTCAAATTTTTATGAGATATTCGAATTTATATTTTATTCAAACATAAAAAATATTATCTTATTACCAAAACCACATAAAACCGTATTATAATATTAACAGAGATAAAAAATAAAATGAAATATTAAAATCAAGATGTATCGCACTGTATTACGCGAATAATCTTCTAGTGTGTGTGTGTGTATATACATATATGGGAGGGATATTTTGCAAACCAAGCCATTTATACAAATAGTGAAAACCGTCAATTTCATCGTTTATTTTAGTAAAAAATTTTCATGTAATTGTTTAATATGATTAACTTGTTTCAAATAATTCATTTTAAAAAATTATGGACATTATCATCTTCTTTCTATTGATTTTAGTATACAAATTTAGTCAAAATGAGAAATACATGAAACAATTTAATTTTTACAAGCATTTTCATCATGAAATGAATTATTTGAAACAATTTCATCATATTAAACAATTATGTGAAAAAATTTACTCAAATAAAGAATGAAATCGATGGTTTTCATGGTTTATACAAATAGCTTGGTTTGCATTTTTTCTCTCCCATATATATATGGCTATATGTTCATTTGAGAAGTGATAAGTATTTGAGAAGTAGAGAAGTGATCATAACCCTTCATCTGGTCAAGATTTAAGGCTTTCTCAAATAGGCGGCAAAACAAATACATATGTGAACCCAAGTGATTCACATATGAACTCGTGTAATTCACATATGAAGTAAATAACGAATTTACATGTGAACTGATTAATTGATTCACATATGAAC